CTAATATTCAACCTTTCATCTACAAAAGACATTGTCTATTCCACTAGAATGTGCTCATTATTCTTTCATCTATATATTGACATCGTCTATAGTTTCTAGAATGTGCATTTCATGCCGGCTCTAATGCAACTGCATCTTTTACACAATCTTTTTTGAAGTTGCACGTTATTAATGACATAATTGAAGCAGGGGCGGGCGATTCTGTTGTATATAAAGGAGACAGTGTGTTGTTGATTTTCTTCCAGCCCTGCACTGGTCGGGTTTTATAAGTTGTTCTTGCCATATAATTTGTACTTGAAGATATGTTCTCCTGGAATGTTGCCTACCTGCAGCAGATGTGTATATATAATTGCTCACAGGCGTATATCTGTTTGATGATTGAAGTTTGTATAGTTCAGTATAAACGTCTCACAGGTATATCTTTGCTCACAGGCGTATGTATATCTTTGCTCAGATGATTGAAGTTTGTATAGCTTCAGTAAAAACGTGTCTCCAGCTTTTTTAATTTCTGCAGGTGTTGACTTTGCGTTGTTAAAAATATCGACGATACTATCAAGGTCTTTTTCTTTATTAAATATTTGTACGTGTTGTTGTTTTCCTTTTCCAAAAAATCCTGATGTTGTGTCACACCCGCTAATAGCGTGAATAAATAAAACTGATTTTTTTAAATTACGTATAATGGATGATTGCAAGTTTCTCGAACTATAAATTCGTTGTTTCACATTATCTATGGCTTCTTTCAGAAAAAGAATGTCTTTTTCATCGGGGGAAAGTGCTGCTAATAAAACAACAAGATCGACATCTTGTCCAACGACTAAAACTTGTTCATTTTTCTCAGATATTTTGATGGCAGTACGAATAATTTGAACATCAGCATCATCTATTGCAAATGATGTGCTAATCTTCTCGCTGTTCAGATGTATTGCAAGCTGCGAAATTAGTCGTTCTTTATTTTTAATATTGCCTAGAAATTTGCTTTTCTGTTCGACCAATAAGGTATTGCTATCAAAAACAATGTCACGACTAAAAAAAATATACTAATTTTGTTACCATTGCAACAATTGAAAATTATTTTAACATCTTAAAGTGTTTTGGTTTGGTTTGGTCAAAAATCATCTACGCTGAAAACTACCTTTAAATTCGATCGCTTTCTGCTCGATATTTATTCGAAAAAACAAAATAAGTATAAGGACCTTTTTTGTAGAAAATTTTATAAAGAATATTTTTGACAAGAATAACATTTTCTGTGCGACTAATGGATTTCGAGAAAAACGAGAAAACCCGCCGCAGTGCGTATTGGGGGTGGTTTTTGGAGGTGAAGCTCACACTTTACAGTTAGGAACTCTTTTAATTTTAAAAAGTCTCCTTTTATTACGTATAACCTCAACATATCAAAACTTTATAATTTTTTTCTTCTAAATATGCTAATATCACAGATTAGGTATCCTATAAGTATACAGATAAAAATGTTGTCCCTAATTCGTGGTACGAAAATTGTTTTTTATGACGATGTGCAAACGAGTAAAATTTCCTGTGCGCAAAAATAAACTCGCGTAAAATAACAATAAACAGCGTAATAGAGAGATATCGCTAAACCGAATAGCGTGCATGGACGTTAATAAGGCCAGGTGTTATTTCCTTTACGTGAGGTAGTGTATCTGTTCTGAGGTGGTATTAACTCTCTTCATTTATAGTTATCGGATCGGAAAGAATTCTGTTCGTGTCGCGTCCGCTATTTAACTTTAACCTAACTTTGAATTTAAAACTTTGAAATTGTTTTGTTTACCAGGTATTTTAAAACTAAAGGGCTAAAGTGCTTATTTCCAGTGCTTTATTGTTCAACGTCTGCCAGTGGGTTTAGGGCAACAAGCAACAAATTCTCTTAGAAGGGCTAAGTTGTCATCTGCTGTAAACCTAAGACTCTTTGTAGGTTCTTTAGTATTGGAAGAGGTGGAATCCATATTTTGGGCCATATTTATTTAATTAAAACTAATCCCAGCTACTTAAATATCAAATTACCTAATAAAACTAAAGCAATAATTCAAAACAATTCAAACATAACCTAAAATAAAAGATCTCGCCGGCCGGCTCCGGTTGTCAAATACCCGCACATGCCCATTTAAGCAATTTTTAAACGTTATCAGAGGTTATTTAGAAAGAGCACTTGGTGTAATTGATCCGCAAATTGCGTCAGGCGGTAACGTTATTAGTGGGTGTTGCGTTAAAAATTGATTCGCGCATATCGTAACCATGATAAGGTACGCGTAAATACTGGATGACGTTATTCGGTTCTCCGATATCTCTCTAATAACTGTGCCGGTCAGGCGCTGTGCACAATTTTAGAGGCCATAAGTGGGCTTGCTATGTGAGCAAACTAGTCACCTAACTAACTAGTGCCCGATTCCGAAAATTGGAACCACGAAAAACAATAAAGAAAAACAAAGATTATAATCTGTATAATCTGTGCTAATATCAACGTACTAACTAGATCTGTAAGCTCTCCGTGATTAACCTCTCAAACATTCTACATTGAATTCTTCTTCAGGAAATTATCTAATTTTAATTTTAAAGCCTGATAGATTTTTTTTCTATTCATTTTCGATTTTGTATCTAGCACATATTTACGGCTAACCTTAGACATGTTATATCTGAGGTTATTTTCATCGAGATTCGGAGGTACTTAATAAGCGGTTTAAAGACGAGTACACTTCTAATCAGCCCCTCTTCAATGCTTTATAAGGTGCTTTTGAAGGCACATGCCTTATCTGTTACAGACATTCTTGACAGTATTGCGTGATCATTAAGGGGATATTGAGTGTTGAAATAGGGGAACCTATATCATAAATTTAATTCTGTTGTCTTGCAGTTTTCTGTTTCTATAAACTGAAGAAATGTATTTCTGATGACGTAGATCGGGTGCGTCTCAAAAGTGGCTATAACTTTCAATTACTTTCAATTGAACCGTCCAGATATTGGCTCCCCTGTTAATTTTACAGTTATTGTAATATGTTTTTAAAAGTTCTGCGTATGCTGAATACACATGCCAAATTTGAACAATTTTGGACAAGCCGATTTTAAGTAATTTAAGAAAAATTGCATCTATTTTTAAATTAAAACTGAACAGGTAACAATACAAAACCAGCCATATGTCATCGTGCCTTAAGTTTTCATCCCATAGACAAACAAATAAAAAGAGGCTGACAAATCTCATGGTAAAGAGTGGGACCGCGTTCCCGTAGCGCAACTCAGAATAACAATTTTGAAACCAATTAGCAGGATCATGGCAGGACATACGTCTTTATTGCTATCTTTCTTTCTTTATATGAAAAAGAAAGAGATAGGTATAAAACGTATCGTAAGACATTATCGCACATTCTGGCTGGGGGGAAATTTAAATTAGCCATTATTAGTAGTATTCTTTCATTCTGAAACTGAAAATTTTCACTTAAACTGATTTATATATATTCCCTATACCACGTAAAGGGTACGTGGTGTAGGGAATAAATCAGTTTAAGTGAAAATTTCCAGTTTCTTTCAGAACGAAAGAATACTACTATTATAAGGGAAATTACAAAAAAAGCAAAAATTGTACTGTTTTATAAACATATTTATTTATACATAAAAATAAATAATCTTTTTATAATATAATAACAAAATATAACAGTGTATATTCCACCCACCTACCAATTTTAAATGCAGAAGAACTGACTGTTGCAGGAAACGATCGGCCAATTTTTTTTTTAAAGGGCATTAAAAATCTCATTTTCGAAAAACTGCCTAATTGCAATAACAAAGTGAATATCCAAGCAAAGAAGACTTTACGAGAATCATGATCCTGAACCATTTTCAAGTCCAGTTTTAATCCTAAAACAAAAGTAAAATAGGTATATTAATAAAGTTTCTGGTTACTATAAACCAGCTATAAACTACGTACCCAAAATATTAAAAAAATTAATTGTGTTAATTTGTTATGTTAAGAGAGGTTCGAAATATTTTTGACACTACTTTTACTTTTTTCTTAATAAGCTGATAAATATAACTACTTACTTTTATTTTACCGGGTGTCTTTAACATATCTATCAGAGAAAGGGGGCACCAATACATATAAAAAATAGATGATACTGGCTCCTGCAGCAAATAAAATAAGAAATAGTCTAACCTAAAATTATAAGTAACAAAATATAAATACCTATATGGAACAAAGGAATTTGTTCCCTATCCATATTCATAAGTCAATAAAATGAGAGTTTAGAAAAAAGGTAAATCACGAAAAGAAAAATTAACAAACATGACGAATTGTCATGATGTTGTCATCTTGGTTGTCATGATGACGAAAACGAAAGGCGATTGTTCTAATTTCTATTTAGAAATTACATTTTATATGGCTGCTTCTTTCTCTCTTGTTATATTAGAATGAGATAGTGGGCCCAATAGACGCAATGCGCAGATCAACATAAATAGAACGAAATTTTGCGTTCTGAGTTGCGCTACGGGAACGTTGTCCCTCTCTTTGCCATTTAATTTGTCAGTCTCTTTTTATTTGTTTGTCTATGGTAGTAGTGTAGACCTGTGGTGTAGACAGCACAACAAATCACATTTGACAATGATAAAATCATAGAGGTTGAATAATTAAGGTTTGTTTATATTTGACTGGTTTTGGGACATTGTTACCTGTTCAGTTTTAATAATTTAAAAATAGATACCGTTATTCTTAAATTATTTGAAATCGGCTTGTCCAAACTTGTTCAAATTTGGTATGTGTATTCAGCCATAGGCAGACCTTTAAAAAACCCATTAACGACTTAGCTGTAAAATTAATAGGGTAGCCAATATTTGCACAGTTCAAAATTTGTATGGGATTTCAATGCCGATGCACCAGCCGGTATATTCATTTATCATCTCTATGGCGATACACAAAATGTTTAAAAGATAAGTTCTTTTTTTTTTCATTGATGTTCTTTTTCAGTAATATTATTAATAAGATTTTTTTTTATTTTCAGAACGTCCCTGTTCATAATCATGAGTTTTGTATACGCGAAACTTTTAGTAGTAGTTTGTATAGCGTACGTCATATCCGATGTAGTCACCCATAACATCCCTTTGTTTTATTATGAGGGTTTCTTCACATACCTCTACGGCACGAGCATTCTATTTTTGTTGTACGTCTTCTGCTTCTTGTTGCAAGAGAGTAGTTGCTGTTCGGGAAATGAAAAGGAAATAAAGGTAATGTATTTATTCTTAATAATTGAATTAGTAATCATAAATGTGATTTCCATATTTTAAAATGACGTAATCGTTGGAAATATCATACATTCACTTATACAGACCGGACCACCGTAGTAGTAACATAGGCAGAACCGGACGAATTAGCGTATACCCGTCCGCCGGATAAAAAAGCAGGCGAAAAAATGCGATAAAATAAAAATAGGTAGATATGTGATAAGAATGTTTCAGAATTTGTATTTATTCGTGTTTTAATAGCCAAAACGAATACATAGGTTCTCGCGACAGTTCTCGTGTAAAATTTATTTTTTAAGTAAAATAATGGACGTTTACGAAGTTCGTGAGAAAATTCAAATTGTAAAATGGTATTTCCAAAATAGGTCTTATCGGAATATACAAACAATTTTTCCACAAACTTTTGTAAACAGGCCAATTCCATCTCTACCTACTATATCAAGAGTTATTAATAATTCTGAAACACATGGGTGCGTGTGCCCACAAAAACACAAAAAGCCTGATGTGTTCATTAATGAAGAACAGGAGTTAAAGCAAGTGTTCATTTGTGCTACCGCGGATCAAAATCCCACGTTTTCAAGTAATCAAATTGCTGAGGTGGTTGCCCTGCCCACAATGCCCGTATTGTTCAAGAATATTTGAACAATACTTTTCCCAACCGTTTAATTAGCGGATATGGAACTATTTTGTGGCCCGCTAGATCACCAGATCTTTCTCCCAATGATTTCTTTTTGTGGGGTTATGTCAAATCCAAAGTGTATGGTCATAATAGGGCTAATAATCTGGATGACCTTCAAGTAAAAATACGAGAGGCTTTCCAAACTATTAGCCCTAATATGTTAGCCAATATCAGACGGGGATTTTACGACCTTCTGTCTAGCAGAAGAAGGTGGTCTTTTTGAACACTTGTTATAACTTTTTTTTATTTAGAGTAGGTAATATTTTAGTTTTTTGTGGTTTAGAGAATTTATTTATTTTTAGTTTTGGCTTGTAAACACACTCAAATAATAAATATTTAAGTATTTTAATTTTACATGTTACCTTAAGTGAAGGTAAACAGTTAAAATGAAAATAATAAATACTCGGCACTCCTCGCGTTGTATTCCTAGTCTGTCACGACCGACCCGTCCAAGCACAACTGCAACTGCGTACTGCCCGACCAGCCGACTAGCCGGCAGTGAATCTCGAGTACGAACGCAAATCGGGTAAACGTAAATTCGTCCAGCAACTTGCTATGTTACTAGTAGCCTGGTCTTCTCTGTATATTATAGTTATTTACTCGCCTGCGGCTCGTGTCATAAACTTCATCGGCCTGAATAACAGCCACTATTATATGCGCGTTGAATAATATACTATTATCCACGACTCGTCTATAATTTGATTATTATACATGAGTTTATGAAATAATAATAATGTTCATTATTCACTAGTGAATAATGGTTTCATTATTCACCGCTTCCACGGATATCTCGATCCAAACTCCAAACAAGAGCTGTGCTCGATCCAAACCGGCTTGGAATGCCATTGTACGTACAAAATAAAGAAAATTTCAATGTTTTGTTTCCATGTTACTTACTCGTTATACTCGTTCAATATTTTTTTGACATTAAAAATAAAAACTTATATTAATATTATCTAATTTTTTTAGTACTTTAAGTATATTTTAAGTACTAGACTTACAAGTACCTATATTAGCCGCTGCCCTGCACCATTTCAAATGAAAATTAAGATATTTTTTGTTTTTTTTACCGTTGTTTACGTACATTTATTGTATTTGATTTAAATATATGTGAAACGTTTTTGAATGTAGGTTAAGCCACAGAATAAGCAGAATGCGAAGGACAAGGAACACAAAAAAGAGGAAGACAAGAAAAAAAAGGAGGAAAAGGAACAGAAAAAACGAGAGGAAAAAGAGAAAAAGAAAGAAAAAGAAAAGGAAAAGGAGAAGGAAAAAGAGAAGAAGAGTAAGAAACAGGACAAGGTGAGGTGATTTTTTATTCACGTTTTTTTTTTCGTGTTTTACTAATTCTACTTAAATTAGAGAACGTACAAAGGAAGATCGTATATTTTTTATTTGGAGAAAATTTCCGATTGTTAGTGCTTACAGTTAACAAGTATTTTACCAGGTTTAAAGCTAATTTGATTTAAGGTATACTCGTTTCATATTTAAATCTAGTTTTCAATTTTCTGGGGTATGTTGTTTTCATAAGAAGGTTGTTAATATACGAGGGTTCACATACTAAGTACGAAAAACATTGAAAAAAAAATAAAGACAAAATCTCGTATTTAAGAAATAGTAATCTATTAAATGTTTTCGCACTTGATTCATTTATATCCTCTATAGAAGTCAAAGTATTTTAGTAACTGTCATTTGCTTGTACCTTAAATTAGCAATCGGTTTTTTGTCCATACTTTTAATTTGCTAAAACCTCCTAATTTAAAGGATGTTTCAGCAAAAAGCCTCGAGCTCGGGAACCAAAGCAGACGCCGATTTCAACATCTCTTTTAGTTTCGAAGATATCAAGGTATGTAAAACATACTTCTTAAACTGGCATTGTGAGGCGATTAACACTGGCCGCATTTACCTTTTTCTGTAATATTTGCAGCAGGTTTCGTTAACGTTTCTGTTTTTTAAACACTGACATTAGTTTTATTAATCTTATACTAATATGCAAAAATATCTTTACGTAGTTGAAGCGAAATTTGGATTGTCATTATTATGAGCTATACACTATGTCTGTAGCTAAAATAAGTAAAATTATTATGAGCTATAAATAAATTAATATAAAGTTGTTAAGTATAAAAATTAAAAATTGAACAAACAGTTACTGTCACACAATACGGTCAGAATTAATCAAGTGCCCACAATGACAGATTGCACCAATTGCGCCATCACTTAAATGCTCCAAGTGTGCTTTTGAATTTCACTCTTTCTAAAAACAAATTATTTTGATCTTCCTTTGTCCGTGTCTTTCAACTACCACACATTCGTATTTTTATTCAAAAATATATTTATTTATGTTAATTAATAATATTAATATCTTTATTAGAATAGTGTTTTAGTGATTCTTTTACTAAATGTTCATTGGGTAGGAAATAATAAATTTTAATTTTAACAAAAATAACTTACCATCAATTATTTTGCTAAATATGTATCCTAATTTACTAATATTCTAAATCTAAATATTGATTGGTAACAAACTTCATTTTAATATAATATCTATTATACCTAATACAGCAAAATAATTTATTAAACAAGTAAAATTTACATATAACATGTTTAAATAGCAATCCATAATAACGATTGAAAAAAAACGGCGTCAAGGACGGCTGGGGGTGACAATCGATAATAATTTTGGCGAGGTCAAGCCCTTGGTTACTTGGTCTGTACTTGGTTTATTTTTTTATGGCCCTTCCTGCCAGTTGACCTTAAGAAGCTTATAACTACAGAATATACTAACGAAAAAGAAGCCCAAGTTCCTTGTAAGAAATCGGTTCCATTTTCGTAGCGCCATCTCTGGTTGTAGCTGACATTTACAGGGATAGCCAAAGGGGTGCGGGGTCGGGGGAACAGGCGGGAATTGTAAAATACACTTTTTTATTTTTAATTATTTTTATTCGCTATTTGCAATTTTATTTTTAAAACATATTATGTGAAACAATCAAATGAGTTTAGAATTTGAGAAAAAAAATATTTTTTTAGAAATAGATTTGTATGTCTGCAAAAGTTCTATTCTTTTTTAATCTTTCTAATTTTATGTTTTATGTCAATTTTAGTAACTGACGTCTAAAGAGTGACGTCACCAAAATTATTATCGATTGTCATTCCACAGCCATCTTTGACGCCGTTTTTTTTACGTTAGTAATCCGTAATATTTTGAAAACAGTATCACATTAATTAATGATATTCTATCGCAAACAAAAAATAGTTTTTATAGAAACAAATTATTAAACAACATTTATAAAAACAGTTCTGATAATATGATTTTAATAAATAATTAATTAAAATCATTTTAATCAAACGTAATATAGTTAATTAACATACTAACTTTGAGATACGGCACAGCACTACCACATGCAAGGCACCACTACTCCCTGTATAAATAGAAATGAAGTCTACTAGAACAAATATACAAATGCAAAATTACATTGATACAAGATTTCATAGGTTTCAGGGCCTATTTATTAAAAGCATATCTGAATTTAATGTAGACACAAATCTGAATATTTTAGGTTAAGGAGTGTATGTAACTCTTTGAATAAGAAGACTTAAGGAAGGAGCATATCAAAAATCTTAGGTACACCGCGATGGGTCTCAAATATGGTCGACTTAAATTCCGGTTTATCAGTGTCGTTCTAATTTTATTTAAAAAATGTAAAACTATGATGTAGGGTAGACGTGGGGTAGACTCAATAATTTGTTGTTTTATTTTACGTTGTCAATAAATGTTGGTAGTTATTAAAATTGTTATAAAAATATATAATTCTAATAAAAATAGATAAGTTATAATAAGTATTTATTAACACAAACATCCGATACGCTACTGAAGCAGGTAACTCAAATTAACGTATCTAAATTCTTTGACATCTAATCTTTGACAAGTAATAAATAAAAGATAAAATGCAGGACAAAAATATATAATTTAGTTAATTTAAGTGAATTTCATAAATGATCGGTTTACTACACGTATGTATATTATATTGTCACTTACTAGCGAAAAATTGTTCCATTATTTCACTCAATTTTTGCCGAGATCTACCGCATGCTACACAACCAACTATTTTAGAGTCTTTTTCGATAAATCGCGATAGTGTCACTGTTAATTTAAGTTCTGCCACAATTTCCATCTAGATTTACTACCTTTATACAACTATCAGTAGTAGAATAAATAATAAATAACATAAAATAAGCTTCATAAAGACTGACAAATCCACAAAATTTCAAATCAAATTCAAATGTGTCAAATGAATCGTCAATCAGAACTGTCAAGGATCCCCACCCTAGAGAGCTTTTATGGTGGCTTTTCCGCCCACCATGCATGAATACATGGATAGCATTATGCTCCTTCCTTAGTCTTCTTATTCAAAGATGTAACTTATCTTTATTTTCGAAATATTTTCTACTTTTAGACTTTTCCGATTTAACCAAAAATGCCTGAAAGCCATTTTGGATCCTACTTTAAATTCTAAACACATTTTGAATATTCGGTTATATTCCTAAGACATGTCAGGAAATAAATAAATAAATAAATGCGGCAACTTTATAACTAAAAAACTTTTTTTTAATTATGACATTTGTAAAATTCCATTCATTGATTTTTAAGAACAAAAAAAAAATTGACGAATCAATTGATATTCGTTACATCACTAGTAGCTATAGTCTGTGAAACGAATAACTTTGAATTTGACAGTTCCCGCGGGCTTTTCTAGTGTTAATTTTATTAGGTTAGCAACTTGCGGCCATGCTGACGCAATGCCGTCTCTAATAGAACAGCCTCGGAGCGAGATTTATGACGTCACGCTAACATAATTATTCCTTATATTTGACTATGGCTGAAATCGTACTCCATAGTCAATGTAGATAGTTTTAGTGTTAAGAATAATAATTTTAAAAAATATGTGATCATATTTTGACAAGTGTATATTAGTTTATTAATTGCAGTAAACATTATGTGGTGTGTGGTGTGAATATTTTATATGCAATTTTTTGGATTATATTCGACACTATTTTTTTTATATGACACAACATTGATTAAGGCTATAATGTTAGCCGAAACGTTTTTTTTAACCAAAAAAATAATGAAAAACCAAATGAAAACTTAATCAGCGTTTTTCCCGAACCTAAATCCCATGAAAATCAAAAATTTTAGAATAATTTTACATTATAAAATGACAGCGATCTTTATTTCATAGCTATCGCTGACGCATTTTTTTCTATGATATTGTATTATTTGCAAATATAATTTTTCGAACATTGATATTGCAAAATATATGTAAATATAAATTTTGTGAATGCAAATAATAATACATCACTATTAGTATATATTGAATGTTTTTTGTTAAATTAGATCGATTTTCAAACCCCAAAATTTAAAATATATTTTACGTTTTACCCATTATCTTATGTACCTATTCATTATTTGTATATTGTAAAACATTTGCTGCATTTGTATAGTTCATAGTTTATTTGCCAAAGTATTTATTACTATAAATAGGTATATATATATATTATATTTATTAACTGTATATTATGTATATTTCATGTAAACTATATCATTTTTAAAATACAAACCAAAAATTCGAGGAATAATTATGTTTTCCATGTATTTTACAACATATTTATTAATCGGTATCTAATTAGCGTGACGTCATAAATCTGGCTCCGAGGCTGTTCTATTAGAGACGGCATTGGTCTGATATTTAGAAATGTCAAAAGCTGACAACTTTTTTGACAATTATACCATTTCGAGAAGAGGGGGTGACTTGGTGACTTGAGAACTGTCACTTGTTTTATTATTTTCCTTTTCTATTTCACGAAAGTAAAAAGAGTTACCTATCTGATTCGTTCAGGCACTCAATTTAAAGAATACTTAAAGGATATCAGTAACTTTTTTGACAGAGGGATTTTATATTTGCCATGTTGGTAAAAAATAACGGTCAAAATTCAAAGTTATTCATTTTATAGACTATACTAGATAATATTTTAAGAAGGAAGTACACCTCTAAACATCCTTAATCTAAAAAAATCAGAATTGTATTTATATTAGATCCTAAAAAGCTCTAGTGAGCGGGCTGTGCGAAAACCCTGTATTTTAAATTTATGTTGCGTTGACATTTAGTTCTATACTATACCGGGTGCGTCTCAAAAATGGCTCACCCCTATAACTTTTTTATTTTTTTAGATAAAAAAACGAGATTTGGTATGTTAGCATATGACATAAATTAGGATTGATTGACGTATTCAATTGTTTTTGGTCACTTCCTGTTTCACCGGAAATGACTACAACTTTTGATTTTTAAATGATACCCTCGGTATTTTTTTACTTTATTCGATAGCAAATGACACTTTGAATAGAATGACATTACAGTTGAGGGTTGGAACCTTTGGTGTTACACAGCAAAATAAAAACACTAAATCACCACAATACACCAAAACACTTTTATTTTACACTGGACGCGCGTTTCACTAACCATGTTAGCATCATCAGCAGATGATTATAAACTAAAGTACAATCTACAAGTTGAGCGTTTATATACTCGCCCAGTGGGCACCGAGTGGGCGTGGCAAAATCTAGCCAACCGAGTCAGAGCCAACTGAGTGTAACAGTTAGATTTCCGCCCCTAGAGTAGTAAGAACAAAGAACTTGAATGAATTGGACCGTTGACTCTGTTCATACTATCTTTACATTTATTAATTCTGATGCTTTCATATGCATCTAATTGCCTGTAATTTGAGACTTGTTTAATTAATTTTAAATTATTAAGATCTATACAATGTTCATTATCAACAATATGTTCGGCAACGCAAGATTTATCCGGTCTACCATATCTTATCTGAGCTAAATGTTTAAAATAATAAAATAATTAAAATTAAATTATTCGTAAACAAATGCTTTTTCCAAATATGCTAATGAGCTACCCTGGTACCATTTGAAAAAATTGAGATATTATTAAAAATACGATTTGAGCATTTTCTAACCAGCCAGGACAAGACACTAAAAACATTAGACGATCAAATCTATTTTTCCAAGGATTAAGAATTAGTGTCTTTAACATAGCCAGGACACTCTAGATTGAATTTTAAAACATGATTTTTTATTAAGCGAGAATGTCAAAAGTTGACATATTATGATATGTCATTCTATTCAGAATGTCATTTTCTATCGAATAAAGTAAAAAATACCGAGGGTGCCATTTAAAAATCAAAAGTTGTAGTCATTTCCGGTGAAACAGGAAGTGACCCTAAACAATTTTAAACGTCAATCAATTCTAATTTATGTCATATACTAACATACCAAATCTCGTTTTTTTTTATCTGAAAAAATAAAAAAGTTATAGGGGTGAGCCACTTTTGAGATGCACCCGGTATATAAAAATAAATTATTATATTGTAGCTAACAAACATTATTAAAAATAATTTTTATTTTTAAATAAGTGTTTAAGACATGAGATATGTTTTCTTTGGCTAAGTACAGTGCTCAAATTACACTTTCTGGTTCGTGAATTATTTTCAAAAATGTTTAAACGGTTTCTGACAAACTGCTTTTTATCATTTCGGTTCGCAAAGTAAACTGTTGTTCGAAAATATTTTTAGGGTTAGCAAAATACTCTGTTGTACTAATTTATAGTAAAGATATTTTTGAAGTCACAATCTCGCCTCCACCGTTGCGGTATGGTTTATGTTCATGATTAAATCAATTTCGAGCACTGGTTACATCATATTATAGTGCATTAATGCAAAAGTCTTTTATCTTAAAATTTTCCATATTTCGACAATAAATAAACCAAGTCGATCTAAAATCTGCACAAATTCAGAAAGAAGATTTTAATGTTTTCGTAAAAGGAGGTAAATAAGTTATTAGCATAGAATTTTTAGCAGTGTTTTTTAGATTTTTTTTTGTATTTTTTAGAGTACATACTGTATTTAGTAATCTTATTATTTTTTTAGTAATATTTGGTCTCGTATCTTTTATTTCTATTAGTTTATATTTATAATGTAGATTTTTGTTTTCTGAGACCTCTAAACAAACATTATTTCATGCACTTTGTCAAGCAGATGAGTTAATCAACGAAGAGTATCAATAATTTATAGGATTTTAGTCTATAAATTATATCTTATTTTTCTTATTATTATTTAAAACAAACATAACATCTTATTTGACTGAGTTTTCCTGGTATGTTGAAAACTTAAATGATGACAGTTCTAATATATAGGGATATTTTGGCTTTAATAACATCAACCGTCATCCTTATATTAACCAATTTCCATTGCTAACCTTCCTTTTTCCATTTTTTTATGGTTTTATTAGTTATATTATATATTTATGTATTCTGTTTATCTTTAAATTATTTTTTATTATTATTTTGTGTTGAGCTTTGTGTTGTGCGTGTAGAGGGAGAGGTTTCCACGTAAGATGCGTGACATTGTACAAGGCAAGACGGATTTTTCTAACATCAATTTTCAGAGAAAGGTGAGAACAATATCCGTCTTTTTTACTTTAGGAATTTTTGGGAAATATTTCAATATTTTAAGAAATAATGGATATACGTATGTTTTTTAATTTGTAACTTTAAATTGCATGTCTTATTGCTTTGAAATATTGAAACTTAACGGTGATATGCGTATAGATTGCGTTACTACTTAACTTACCCAATAAAATTGCTCTGCCGCTTTTGCTTTATTTAACATATACTCTTTTACTCTGGTTTTATTTTCATTGTTCCCAGTTTTTCTCCTTTTTATATCCCTAAAATATGTACACGCACAACCACAACTTTTCTTGTTTATTGCACAAATGGGATTGCGTTTTGTTAACTAATAAGATAATTACTAATAATTATCTTTCTTATCAAAAAATATCAATCAAATAGGTACTTTATGAGAAAATTATAATTTTGGATAACTTTTATAAGAATGAGACAATGAAGAAATATTTTTAGACATAAATTTAAATATGCTTGCACACAAGTCATTTAAAAGTTATTTGCAGAAATCTGCCTGCAAAATACTAAAATTTTATAATACGGCCCAGAGAAAGCTACAGTCATGCTGCAATTAATATACCAGCAAAAATGTGATTGTCATTGTAAAATTGTGTCACTGTCAAATTCGATACATAGACAAACAAATAAAAAGAGACTGACAAATCTCATGGTAAAGAGTGGGACCGCGTTCCCGTAGCGCAACTCAGAATAACAATTTTGAAAACAATTAGCAGGACCATGGCAGGACATACGTCTTTATTGCTATCTTTCTTTATTATGTGTGCTTTATATGAAAAAGAAAGAGATAGGTATAAAACGTATCGTAAGACATTATCGCACATTCAGGCTGGGCGGAAATTTAAATTAGCCATTATTAGTAGTATTTATTCATTCTGAAACTGAAAATTTTCACTTAAACTGATTTATTCCCTATACCACGTAAAGGGAACGTGGTGTAGGGAATAAATCAGTTCAAGTAAAAATTTGCAGTTTCTTTCAGAACGAAAGAATACTACAATTATAAGGGAAATTATAAAAAAAGCAAAAATTGTACTGTTTTATAAACATATTTATTTATACATAAAAATAAATAAACTTTTTATAACATAATAACAAAAAATAACAGTTTTTATTCCACCCACCTACCAATTTTAAATGCAGAAGCACTGACTGTTACAGAAAACGATCGGCCAATTTTTTTAAAGGGCATTAAAAATCTCATTTTCGAAAAAACTGCCTAATTGCACTAATAAAGTGAATATCCCAGCAAAGAAGACTTTACGAGAATCATGATCCTGAACCATTTTCAAGTCCAGTTTTAATCCTAAAACAAAAGTAAAGTAGGTATATTAATAAAGTTTCTGGTTACTATAAACCAGCTATAAACTCCCTACCCAAAAAAATGAAAAAAAATAATTGTATTAATTTGTTATGTTAAGAGAGGTTCGAAATATTTTTGACACTACTACTTCTACTTTTTTCTTAATAAGATGATAAATATAACTACTTACTTTTATTTTACCGGGTGTCTTTAACATATCTATCAGAGAAAGGGGCTACATATAGAAAATAGATGATACTGGCTCCTGCAGCAAAAAAAATAACAAATAGTATAACCTAAAATTATAAGTAACAAAATATAAATACCTATATGGAACAAAGGAATTTGTTCCCTATCCATATTCATAAGTCAATAAAATGGAGAGTTTAGAAAAAAAGGTAAATCACGAAAAGAAAAATTAACAAACATGACGAATTGTCATGATGTTGTCATCTTGGTTGCCATGATGACGAAAACGAAAGGCGATTGTTCTAATTTCTATTTAGAAATTACATTTTATATGGCTGCTTCTTTCTCTCTTGTTATATTAGAATGAGATAGTGGGCCCAATAGACGCAATGCGCAGATCAACATAAATAGAACGAAATTCTGCGTTCTGAAGTCCCGTTCTCAGAACTGCGACTGTCGCCAGCGACACGACAAAACAACCAATCAGATTTCTACAAAATTCAAACAGCTGTCAATTTTAAATTTAGTACAGCTCCCATTGGTCGTTTGAAGTGTCAATCAGTGTCGCTGTCGACACGACGCAGTTCTGAGAACGTTAAGTCCCGTTCTCAGAACTGCGACTGTCGCCAGCGACACGACAAAACAACCAATCAGATTTCTACAAAATTCAAACAGCTGTCAATTTTAAATTTAGTACAGCTCCCATTGGTCGTTTGAAGTGTCAATCAGTGTCGCTGTCGACACGACGCAGTTCTGAGAACGGGGCTTGAGTTGCGCTACGGGAACGTTGTCCCTCTCTTTGCCATTTAATTTGCCAGTCTCTTTTTATTTGTTTGTCTATGATTCGATATCACATTTTTTTTTCTTCACAAGAATTTTATGTTTTTTTCTGAATTGGATGATTTTCTGATTCTTTTCTTCAACATGCAGAATATGCAACTCATTGTTGTTTTCTTTCTGTTCAATTATTTTTGTCTTCATACTTCCAAGTGCTTAATACTGTGACTTTAGTTTCAAATCTCTGGTTTATTCTTTAAACTCTTGACTTATTTGTTATTAGGCGTAAGTATATTCCTTGTGTAGACTTTCCGGAGACTGATCTACGAACATATCCAACACAGCGGGAATACTATTTCCTGCAAAATGCCATTTAACCATCGTAACTTTTTCAGAAGTTGCGAAAATCATAATTATTTTACACAAAATTACTCTATTTGATACCTTCAAATTTTTGTGACAAAATGTGACATCAAATTTGACAATGACACAAGCAAATTTTTGCTGGTATTTTGATTGTAGCTTTCTCTGGGCCGTGTTATAAATTTTACTAATTTGAAGGTAGATTTTTGTAAATAGCTTTTAAATGACTATTTCAAACGAAACGAAATTCTAGACAAATGAACAACTTTAACACCTCTTCAAAAAAGCCTTATACATTTTTTGCATAAAAACATCTGGAGAGATAATATTTAACCTTTTCAAAATTTGCATGGGATTTTAGTCGAGTTGTATTAAGTTACTTTAACTGAAGCAAAACGCAATCCTTCTTATAAAAACACTTTATTTTCGTCCCCCCTTTATTTTCTGCTTTTGGTTCACCTTGTCTCTCCTCCGTTCGCCCAGAGCACCACGTACCGACGCAATAGCGAGGGCGTGGTCGACGCCGAGGACGTGGTGCCGGTACCCGTGGCCGAACTCTCGGTCGCCTCGTCGCCCCCCGCTCACCGTCACTCTTCGCAGGGGCCGCCCGCCCAGAGCGACGCCCCGCCGCCCCCCGCGCCGCCGCCCGTCGCGCCCGCACATGTCAACAACGTCGACTTGGAGAGCGGCGCCATCGTGCCGGCGGCTCAAGCTGCGCAGCAGAGGACGAGGTGCAAGAGGAAGACCACGCAGAACGACCAGAGTCACGGCAGTTTCTTTTTGAGGATCGGCGCAATAGGTGCGTATTTTTTTTGATAAAATGAATTATTCTGCATAGTCGTTTAATTATTAATATTACCAATCCTATCTTCCTGCACTGTCAGTTTTTTTACGTTTTCTAGGGACCGAGTTGAAGTTCGCGCTAAAGATTTTAGACAGTGACAGTTATTTTTGCGTTTGACGGACGAGCGCACAGTGCGGTGGAAGATAAATTTAGCGGGACAAAACCGTATGGTTAGAAATAAGCCAAAAAATGTGTACTGATAAAAATAAATAGTAGACATTCCAATTGATATAAAAATGCATGAGTACTCTTTGTATTTCGATACATTTTTATCAACCAAATTTGATTGTTTTTTGCTCAGCAAGGTAGAGGTCATACGAAAACAAAATATTTAAAAGTGCTTATACATTTTATTCCAAAGCCAAATTATGTTGAAGATTGCCAAAGGTATGTACTTTTCTACTGTAGGTATATTATTTGTTAAAATCCTTCGTGCCTTTGTTCCGCAGATATCAAACTTTTACTTTTTCAAATATTGATAGATTGAATGATGTAGATCTTTTGAGTTACCAATAGTTACCAACACAGTAGTCACAGTGACAAGGAGTTCAAGCTTAACAGGTGAATGCCCAAAGACAATGAAACAAAGACTCGTTAAAGGGTTAATTGAAGAGCATTCAAAAGAAGAATTGGGTTTTGCAAGTACTATGAGCTTTAGAGCTAGTGGGAGTAATGATGCTGCTCTAATTGTTGAAACCTTAACTCCATCGAAAGGCACAGAGTTTAAAAAATTAATAGCTGCCCATACATGGAAAGGCCCAGCCTTCGGATTTGGCCTTGAGGCCGGGGCTTTCACCCAAATTACCATAGCGGAAATATATCCGCGGACTTTGCCTTTCACGCAAACCTATGGTATTTTGGGTTAAAGGCCCGGACCCAAGGCCAAGTCCGAAGGCCGGGCTTTTCCGTGTATGGGCAGCTGATGAATGACACAAATAATAGTCAGTTCAACAATTTTCCTCAAGACAAAAACATCCAAATGATGTCATTTTATTATTTATCTTCCGTCAAGAGAAATTGTCGTTAGAAATCAAAAGTTGATTGTTTTATAATCTATAATCTATAATAATATTAGGCTTTCTCTATGGATACAAATGACCGCAAGCTGTTGGTAGGATATTCTACTAATTTTAATTGTGAATTCATATTTACAAAATTAAGTACTTGTTAACAATTAAAAAACGTATAAAATTTGCACTACGTTCTTCACCTCACTGAAAAAAAGGATCTCTCAGTCGAAATGAATATGACTTTGACCCAAAAGATTGGCGCTTTTCAATAGGGCCAAGAACGACGTTTCTTTGCCCAAAGCATTAACTATCTTTTCATAAGTTTTAAAAAATTACTTTAGAGAATAGAAGGATCTATCTGTCCAAAGTATTTCACTCTTGACCCAAAATGAATATGCAAAGAAGTTCTTGCTGAAAGGGACCATTTCTTGATTAAAGAGACACTTTTCTTAAACCAATAGCGAATACTATTGACTCAACTAAAATTTATTTTGATCTAAGAGAAGTCTATACATCATATACAGGCATATTACGAGGTATATTATTTTCTGATAAATTTAGGTTTTCCTGGTCTGTAGTAAGTAAAGTGATATTATTTTCCTCGATAGTAGTTATTTCTGCTTCTTCACTCCATGGTATTTTTTGGGGTGGTTCTTCACTCTACAAATTACAAAAAAATGTTACATCACGATTAAGAAAGTAAAGCAAATAAATTATTAAAATTATAAGCTTTGGTCACATTTTGAATTTTTTAATACGACGACTTGAAATTCTAAAATTTTTGTAATTATTTGCTTATTTATTATTCTTATTCTATCTATAGTCACGCATGCATTATCTAAACAGGTGCATTAAGTAAATGTCTCTTACCTTCAAATATAGCAAATAAATGCTCTAATTTCCATTTTTTCAGGAACTGCTTTGAAGAATCCATATATCCTAAAATTTGTCCATAAAAAATGACAAATGCATGTTAATAACGATCACTAATTTGTTATACGATATGCGTTTAAAAAGCAAATTATGCAAAATTCCAAGCAACAAAACCCGTGCGTACTATGATGTGCGACCTATGAAATGCGACATACAACTGATCGGACTGCCGACTGATTGTATATACCGTCCTTCGTCATCGTCTTTGCGTGTCGTTATTATTTTTCATCAAAAGAGTATTTAGCTATTGGGAAAATGGCCATGTTTCTTGAATGAAGTACTTCCTAGCGTATTTTTCTTATTATCTTAAAACAAAGTAACTTCCACTTGGTTGAATGAAAATAGATTCAAGAGAAATTTTCGAATTTTTCAAGAGAACCAGTTTTCTTGAGTTAAGAGAGTTTTTCTTCAGGCAAAATATTTTCTTTTACACTAAAATAAATTCCCTTGCCACTAATTTTTTTTTCAAGAACGATGACGACTTTAGTTCAAGTCTATCTTTTTTATCAGTGCTCCGTCCAATAATTCTTGGTGTTCGGAATATTTAAATAACTTAAAATTATGCTTCTTCAAATTCGCGAAGCAGTGGTACGATGTTTTTCGACTATTTCTCCAAATATTCTGGTACTTACTTGGTTTTCATATTCCACTTGTAACAGAATAGAAAATTTTCATTCATTATTTATATCATAATCCTTTTTTTATATCTATCTACAATCTTTAATAACTGTTCATATAGGAATTTTTCTCTTACATTTATAGTCTTCAATAACTGGTCTGGCATATTTGGAAAATGTACAGAAAATAAATCTATCATAACTCAAGCACGAATTCGTCTAAATAATTCAAAATGAACAATTTTCTTCATTTTAACGAGTTCTTTAAAAAGTTACAAATATACTTTTCTGTAAAATAAAATGGGGAAAACTTATTTATCATTTTTAAAATTTCATGGGATTTCCTATGTCCAGGTCGGTCATGCAACAAATTGTATGTAACGCTTGTAATTGTATTAACGTCCATACACTTGACCGATGTTTTAATAAAAATTATTTTTCAGCCTTTGGTCTTGGAACGATGATATATAATGGATTGGAATTCGGTGCTTTCTTTGAAGTCCCTTTCAATTCGCCATGTTATATGATTCTTCGAGGAGTTAATCCGGTACTTCAAATGATCTTCACTTTCATGCAGATGTATTTCATTTTCATGAATTCACGGGTAAATATATCACTAATACTGTATAAGCAGATTTATATTTAAAATAATTTTCTGTTTAGCTCAATATCCATCGTTTTAAAGTGGTGGCCAGATTCGGACTGATGCATGTTGCAGCTACAAATATATGTGTTTGGATCAGAACGCTCGTCTTAGAATACATTAAAGAGATTACGCTCTACCATAGAGAACTTTTCAATATCGTTGGACCAACAAATAGCTCTCCTTTTGCAGGTGGGTTATGTTTTATTTATACTAGGGTACATTTTAATTATTGCATCTAATTTTTACCTAAACCACAAATATATGTGTTAGTAAAAACGATATGGACGATTCACATGCAAATATAAGCTAAAAGAGTATTGGCTTAAAATTGTAATTGTAACAGTTTTTACTATACTTATAAGAGGTGACAACGAGATCATTACACAAACCGCCATTTATTTTTTTTATTACACCACAGATATTTGAATCAAAAAGACAAGGGTGAAGAAACAATACAGGGTTGTTTACCACATACGACACGGAGTATTGTAGCTAAACGATGAGATTTTTACAAATTGTAAGTTTTGGTTTCGTTGAAGGACTATTAGAGCTACAATTTAAAAATAATTTTACAAGATACAGAGTGTCTCAAATAAGTAAAAAATATCAAAGTTGTATTTTTTTAAATGGAGCACCCTGTATATTACAGTTTTAATTTCTACGATTAAAATAAAGGTAAATTTGGTTAAGGTTTATTATACTTAAACCTTACCGTTTTTGAAATATTTTCAATTTTGTGAAATTGCAGTAAAAATTTTAAAGCTTCATTTCTCCATGGGTATCAATGTTTTTAATACTAAATATTTAATGAAGTTTATTTATTGATCAGTTATTATGTTGCAATAATAAAAATAATATTACCTTATACAGAGTGTCTAAAAATTTATTTTAAATTATTATTAGCTTCAAACGGCAATAACTTCTTTAATTTAAATAGAATGCCCTGTGTATTTTAGGAGAATCAGATGCACAATTAAATTGTCTATCAAGTTTTCGTAGAAAATGCATTTTCTTATAATTTAGACCTCATTTATCAATATATCCATGGAATATTGACATTTTACATTTTAAAATGTACAGACTAGTAATATTATCGTTTTTAGCAAAACGATAATATTACTAGCCCTTTTGTATGCAAAAAGAAAACTATTTAAATCTTTATAAAAGAGTATACCATTAATTAAATTTAACACCATTATTTCTGCCCATATACTAATTAATTACATACTTAATTGTGTTCGTTAATAAATTATTATAAATAAATGTGGATTTGAGTCAGAAATCAATATAATAATAAGTTATCAAATTAAAGTCTCTGTTGTTATAAATAAGCATTTATTAAAAAATGAAATATCATTTTTAAGGTGTTACTTTTTATCACACTGTCTAATGCCCATACAAAATTCAGTTTTTTAGTATTTGGAGCAATTATTATTAATCAACGCAAACAGTCATTTAATGTAATTTGAATACTGGAATCATATTAATTGGTCCTCTTTAACAAATATTTAAACAATTTTTTTTATTTTTTAATGAAATAAACGAATTATATCGGCAATATTAGTATCTGTACTCTTTAAAAATTTGGTACATCTTTAAAAATAATCTAAAATGTCAATAGTCCATGGGTATATTGATAAATAAGTTCTAAATTACAAGAAAATGCATTTTCTACGGAAACTTAAAGAGATAGGTAAAAAATGGTATAATATAATTTGATAGACAATTAAATTGTGCATCTGATTCTCGTAAAATATACAGGGTGTTCCATTTAAATTAAACAAGTTATTGTCGTTTGAAGCTAATAATTATTTAAAATAAATTTTTAGAAACTCTGTATAAGGTAGTATTATTTTTATTATTGCAACACAATAATTGATCAGTAAATAAACTTCAGTAAATATTTACTATTAAAAACTTTGATACCCTTGGAGAAATGAAGCCTTAAAAATTTTACTGCAATTTCACAAAATTGAAAATATTTCAAAAACGGTAAGGTTTAAGTATAATAAATCTTAATCAAATTTACCTTTATTTTAATCGTAGAAACTAAAAATGTAATAATATACAGGGTGTTCTATTTAAAAAAATCCAACTTTGATATTTTTTACTTATTTGGGACACTCTGTATCTTGTAAAATTATTTTTAAATTGTACCTCTAACAGTCCTTCATCGAACCCAAAACTTACAATTTGTAAAAATCTCATCGTTTAGCTACAATACTCCGTGTCGTATGTGGTGAACAACCCTGTATATTAGAAATGTGATTATTACAAAAAAAATAAGTGCCATGCACAAAACATCCCCCTTTAGATTTTCATCTGTCATGTTAAGAAATGAAAGTAAATAAAGAGCCTCTCCCTCGTGTTTGTTCGTATACCTACTAAATATTTCAACTAATACAATGCCGCAAACGGATCGTGGCTATCTTGATCGGTTTCGAAGCTACAGGGGGATTTTCAAATTTTGTACTTTTTGAAGATGTTCGATAGTTTGTTTATTTCAGCTACTACGCAAAAATGAATTATACAGTCTAAAGGCACTTTTCTGTGTAGAATGCAGTGGCGTAATCAGACTTTTTTCGAAAAAAATATTTTTTTAGATGTTAACTATACTTCTGTTTTTTTAAATATAACCCTCTGTATATTTTTAAATTTCCTGATTCTCCTTGGCATGGGCTTCTCGAAAATATATAACACTCTATATTTATTTTCACTATTAACCTCAACATTTCAAATTTTTCTTAAAATATCGTAGTAGGCCGCGCCGAGTAACAATGTAAACGGTTGTCATGGTGATCGGGACATACCTTTGATGGATGCGCGACATTTCATTTCAACAGATTGAAGTGTGTGTATTTTAAATAATAAAAAAATGAGTAATTTTGAAAATTTTGAGAAATATAATATGTTATATTAAGTCTAACAAACATAAGCAAATGGCAGCTGATTAAAATTTTTAGCGGTATTGTGAGCGCGAGCATTTAAACCCAGCCATTTTTCAGAAGGTCAGAAAATAGTTTAATTCTAGCTACCTTAATCACCTGATATCACTCCCTTGAACTTCTTTCTCTGGGACTTTCTGAAAAACGATCCGTTTGCGCCATTGTAATTTTTTCAAAAAAAGAACCCGAGACTGCAGTATCAAAATTTGAATATTTCTCACGGTTTCCTAGATACCCTATAGAAACAACCAAAATGGTCCACCCTGTACATACTTTAGGTTTACACTTAAACAAAATTCCCAAGTTTTTTATTCTAGCAGCTACAGATGCTCGACGCACTATTGCCGGACCCCGTATATTTTTTGAATAAAAGTATCAACTTTAGTCGGTCATTTCGTTGTCACCCGGTATAAGTATGGTTTGTGTAAGCTAACCCAGTGCAATACGCACGCCTTTTACAGACAGCATTCGACAGCACACCATGCGTAACGTCAATACTATCCTCGGCATTCACCGTGCAAAACCTGATGTTATACCAAACAGTACAACCACTGTCGCCACGTTATTGGCCAAAGCGGTGGCCGCTACGCCATCTAGCGTAAACAAAATTGTAAGAGCCACGACAAGCAGCGTGTACCCCTACTTGAACAACTTGGCCACTGCCCCTACTACTACTACCTTGCCTCCTATTACTACTACTGCCACCAGAAGTAAGTTTTAGCTGGAATGTGGTGTGTGGGCCAAAACTAACTATCTGCATGCATTAAATGTGGTAGCCCTTATTCGTTATTCATTGAAAATGTTTATTTTATTGATTCCATTTGGGTAGTAGTAGTTTATTAGTAGGTTAGGACTGTCTCAGTAATAAAAATTGGTCGACTAGATACCATTCGATCAAAAAAAACGGCGTCAAAGACGACTAAAGAATGACAATCGATAATAATTTGCAGTTGGTCTTAAATGGGTTGTAATTTATTTTTATATCGATTAAAAATTACTGTTAAATGGCGAAGTTTAATATTCGGGGAAAAATAATTTTTGGAAATAGGTTTATGTGTCTGGAAACGGGGGGGCTCTATCCTTTTTTTAATCTTTCTACAGGATTGTTCACCACATACGACACGGAGTATTGTAGCTAGACGATTATATTTTTACAAATTTCGGGTTTTGGGTTCGGTGAAGGACTATTAGAGGTACAATTTAAAAATAATTTTACAAGATACAGAGTGTTCCAAATAAGTAAAAAATATCAAAGTTGTATTTTTTTAAATAGAACACCCTGTATATTATTATATTTTTAGTTTCTACGATTAAAATAAAGGTAAATTTGATTAAGGTTTATTATACTTAAACCTTACCGTTTTTGAAATATTTTAAATTTTGTGAAATTGCAGTAAAAATTTTAAGGCTTCATTTCTCCAAGGGTATCAAAGTTTTTAATACTAAATATTTACTGAAGTTTATTTATTGATCAGTTATTGTGTTGCAATAATAAAAATAATACTACCTTATACAGAGTGTCTAAAAATTTATTTTAAATAATTTCTAGCTTTAAACGCCAATAACTTCTTTAATTTAAATGAAACGCCCTGTATATTTTAGAAGAATCAGATGCACAATTTAATTGTCTATCAAATTGTATTATACCATTTTTAACTATCCCTTCAAGTTTTCGTAGAAAATGCATTTTCTTATAATTTAGACCTCATTTATCAATATACCCATGGAACAATGACATTTTATTATTGAAACCTATGGAATATTGACATCATATATTGACATTCTAGTAATATTATCGTTTTGCTAAAAACGATAATGTTGTATGCAAAAAGAAAAGTATTTAAATCTTTATAAAAAAATATACCATTAATTAAATATAACACCATTATTTCCGCCCATATACTAATTAATTACATACTTAATTGTATTCGTTAATAAATTATTCTAAATAAATGTGGATTTGAATCAGAAATTAATATAATAATAAGTTATCAAAATTAAAGTCTCTGTTGTTATAAATAAGCATTTATTAAAAAATGAAATATCATTTTTAAGGTGTTAGTTTTTTTACCACACTGTCTAATACCCATACAAAATTCAGTTTTTTAGTATTTGGAGCAATTATTATTAATGAACGCAGTCAGTTAATGTAGTTTGAATACTGGAATCATATTAATTGGTCCTCTTTAACAAATATTTAAACAGTTTTTTTATTTTTTAATGAAATAAACGAATTATATCCACAATATTAATATCTGTACTCTTTAAAAATTTGGGACATCTTTAAAAATAAAAATGTCAATATTCCATGGATATATTGATAAATAAGTTCTAAATTACAAGAAAATACATTTTCTACGGAAACTTAAAGAGATAGGTAAAAAATGGTATAATATAATTTGATAGACAATTAAATTATGCATCTGATTCTCGTAAAATATACAGGGTATTCCATTTAAATTAAACAAGTTATTGCCGTTTGAAGCTAATAATTATTTAAAATAAATTTTTTGACACTCTGTATAAGGTAGTATTATTTTATTATTGTAACACAATAACTGATCAATAAATAAACTTCAGTAAATATTTAGTATTAAAAACTTTGGTACCCTTAGAGAAATGAAGCCTTAAAATTTTTACTGCAATTTCACAAAATTGAAAATATTTCAAAAACGGTAAGGTTTAAGTATAATAAACCTTAATCAAATTTACCTTTATTTTAATCGTAGAAACTAAAAATGCAATAATATACAGGGTGTTCCATTTAAAAAATACAACTTTGATATTTTTTATTTATTTGGGACATTCTGTATCTTGTAAAAATATTTTTAAATTGTGGCTCTAATAGTCCTTCAACGAACCCCAAACTTACAATTTGTAAAAATCTCATCGTTTAGCTACAATACTCCGTGTCGTATGTGGTGAACAACCCTGTATAATTACTATTAATTTTTGACTAGTTTTATGTTAATTTTTAATAAATGCCAGTTGGCCTTAAAAAGGTTGTTATTTTGATATGTGTATATATTGATTAAATATGACTTTTAAATGGTGTAGTTTAAAATTCGAGAAATTTGTTTTTTATTTTGGAAATATATTTGTTTCTGGAAACGTTCCGTCCTTTTTTTATCTTTCTATAATTAGTGTTAATTTTTGACAAGTTTTATGTCAATTTTTAGTAAATGACATCCAGAGGTTGACCTCTCCAAAATTATTATCGATTGTCATTCCCTAGTCATCTTTGACACCGTTTTTTTCTTCGATCATAGGGTACATTTATTGCAAAAAAAATCGGCAATAAATAAACGCTCCACAAGGTACCTATAGGACATTTAGTAAATTTTATATTCTCCTTAGGTGGTTACATTGGATGCGGATTCATACAAAAATTTGTTCATAGTTCATAGAACTCTTTACGAATAATCATGGGAAATTGTTAAAAGAAAACAAAAAAAAAGTATGTTATAGTCATTGCTTACCTGCTTACCTATTTCATATGAATTCCTACGAAATTAAAATACGGTCGAAATATTTTGTGTTTGTTCGCACGAAAAGGATCTATTTGTTAGTTTATGGACATGTATTGTGAAATATCGATAAGTTTAATTCACTAACCTTAGCACACCCGTCACCCGAAGACTAAGGGCTCGAACACACTGACGACCAGGTCGCACACAAATGATATAGCGCACACTAACGTCCTGGCCGTCCGTTGGTCGTTGCGACCAGTAGACTGCACTAAAATATTATTATTTTCTGCCGCTTGTTGCCGATTTTCTTCCAAATTAATAATTTTTCAGATGAAACCCCTCAAATTCAACGCACAATATTTTATTTTCTATAAGATATAGTGTTTTAGTGTAGTTTATGCACACGTGCAGAGCAGAAAGTCTAAAGAAATAGTATACAGACTGGATCAAAGGGAAACTTAAATCTAGTCCCTTTTTTATCAAGGGTTTTGACCGCTGAAGGAACAGGTGCTGGAGTATTTGATAAAAGACAAAATTGAGAGCAAGCTTATCATTTTCCTTGGATAAATACTCAACTGTATTCCAGACAGAAATCTACGCCATTCTGTAATGCGCGAGAGAAAACAACAGACGAGCTTACTCCAGGTAAGCAACCTGAACCCAAAGGTATCATCGAGATTTGTCTAAGAATGCCTGGGTGAATTGGGAGCTCTGGCGCGAAGGAATAGAATTAAATTATTCTGAGTGCCGGGTCACAGCCACATCCAAGGCAACGAAGAAGCCGATGAACTAGCTAGGCAAGGATCCTCGGAATCCTATCTTGGCCCAGAGCCAGTACTGGGAATACCCAAAGGTATTATGAACCCAAAATTTTTGATTTTTTTGAAAATTACATGCATGACCCTCGATTTTACGTATAAAGCATAAACATCACATTAACCAATCTCACCGCGACTTTTAAACAAGGGGTTCCCCTTTAATAAACGAATTTTAAACGGGGGTTCCCCCTTTGTCAAGATATCAAGAAATTTCAAGATTTCTTGAATCACGACAAGAAATCAACTCTCAAGAAATGCTCAAGACAAGATTTCTTTTTAATTCTTGAAAATATTTCGAGACAAGACAAGAAATTGCTTGTCACGACAAGATTTCTCGTCTTGCCGATCCCTAGGCCGGAGTAACTGTGCTCCCATCCTATCAAGGACCGGCAGGGTCCAGGGATAGGAGAATAGGTGCAGACACAGAAAGGGAACAAAAACAGATCACAGTGTTTTCAGGCTGTTTTACGTACCTTTATCACTCGACCCAAGCTAGCAGGTATGCATATACTCAATGCACTGATACTACGTACGTAATACTACAGGGTCCGGCAATAGTGCGTCGGGCATCTGTAGCTCCTAGAATAAAAAACTTGAGAATTTCGTTTAAGTGCAAACCTAAAGTATGTACCAGGATGTATTTCAGGAAAATATTTTAACTTTTATAGGGTGGCTCAAAAAAGTGTGAGTGGACCTGGATGATTTTTTTTAAATGGAACACCCTGTATATAATTGCATTTTTGGCTTCCTTTCAGATCACTTTACATAACCCTAAGATATGAATAAATATATTTCGATAGTTTCAGAGATATTAAAAAATGAATAAAAAATATGTATTTTTCAGCCCTTCTTAAAAAAATTATTAAAAATACAAGAACGGTTCTGAAGTCAAAACTATATTAGGTATTTACTTTAGATAGTCTGTTCTTACATTGTTATAAATATAGTAATCGTATATCATACAGGATGTTCAATACTCTACGCCAAACTTTCTAAAATATAAAATAATTTTTCTTTGTTATTTTAAATGGAACACCCTGTATATTATTTTTTTATTAGATGGAGAGTTAAAAAATGAACATTTTTTGTATTTAGAGTATTTCAAAATTTTGAGCGGTTTCGCAGATACGCGCAGTATTATTTCATATGGCGGCTTTCAATGGTAAAATACGAGAGAAAATCATTGGGTGGCTTTGATAAAAATTTACTGTGGAAAATGCCATATGAAATATAAAACCGCAAATACCTGCAGAAACCGTTAAAAATTTTGAAATACTTTAAATACAAAAATGTTCATTTTTTTAAGTCTCCGTCTATTGAAAAATAATATGCAGGGTGTTCCATTTAAAAACGAGGAAAAATTATTTTATATTTTAGAAAGTTTAGCAGAATTTTGAACATTCTGTATAATTTACGATTTTCATATTTATAGCAAAGTAAATACAGGCCATCTAAAGTAAATACCTAATATAGTTTTGATATCAGGACAGTTCTGGTATTTTTAAATTTTTTAAGAAGGGCTGAAAAATACATATTTTTATTTATTTTTAATATCTCTGAAACTATCAAAATATATTTATTCATATCTTAGGGTTATGTAAAGTGATCTGAAAGGAAGCCAAAATGCAATTATATACAGGGTATTCCATTTAAAAAATCATCAGATGTCCACTCACACTTTTTGAGCCAATACTATAGAAGATAAAATATTTTCTTGAAATACATCCCTGGCATTATACTAGGGTTTGCATAAACAAAATTCTCAAGTTTTTTATTCTAGGAGCTACAGATGCCCGACGCACTATTGCCGGACCCTGTATATTATCCAATGAATATTATTTGTGAGAAAATAAGTAAGACCTGGCGGCTCTGGGATCTTGTCGGGCTCAAGTTTCGTTTAGCCGAAATCAGTTATATAGAATATGGGTTTATAGGATGATTCTATACAAGAAAACTAGCACTACATAATTTGATTTTTGCCGCGGAAATTCTTTGCTTTTGAGTAAACTCGAATTTTTAATTTTTCTATTATTAACTAAAATTTAAAACTTTACGGTGTTTTTAATAGTTTTTCATTATAGAATGACGTAAAAACATTTAATATAACAATGTGATCTAATTTTTTTTCGAAAATATATTTTTATCACAATAATTTTCATTGATTTTTCCGGGTTTAGAAGTGCCGAAATGTGATAGGAAGATAAAAACTACATATTTTTGTTTGATTAATAATTTGCTATAACTTTTCTATATAACTATTTCCGCGGAAATCTATCATAAGGGCGGTGTAATGGAAAATCTTCAATATTAAGTTTTCCATAGTATTCTCAACTATTTTGCATACTTTCGGTTTGGTTTTAGTTGGTTTGGTTTAGTTGTCGTTTTTATGCTTTATTGACAATTGTTTTTAAATTTTCGCATTTGTTGACCATAGCGATATTAAGTTGATAAGAATAGATAATATTCATTGATCTGTGTCAAAGGTCGGGAAGAAGATCACTGCATAGTGGTGAAACAAGGCATTTCCGCGGATTTTCATTTTTGTATCGGTGCTTAAAAATAAGTCTACAATATAAAATAATATTAGTTTTTTATATATCTCATTTCGTTACTTGTGAACCATATTCAAAAAAATGGCAACAGCGCATTTCCGCGGAATTTCATTTTCGTATTAGTATTTACAAAGACGTCTAAAATATGAAATAACATTAATTTTTCATGTATGTCATTTCGTTACTTTTAAACCGCATTCAAAAATGGTGACGCGTTTCCGCGGCAAAATTCTTTCAGTAATATACTGCCTGACGTACCTAAATGACAAAATATTATCCAATGAATATTATTTGTGAGAAAATAAGTAAGACCTGGCGGCTCTGGGATCTTGTCGGGTTGGTGCTATTCGAATTCTGTATTTGGTAAACAATCGCCACCAGTTATGTACAAACATATTTTCAAACTAATTCGCATCCAATGTAACCTGTAATACATTTTTGAGACAACCCTACCTTTAGATATTAGTTGATAGTAGTACTAAAACAGTTACTAATATATCGCTCTCCTCGTCGCTCATTAAGGTGTGTTCACTACCGCTAAAAGTATCCCCCCTACCCTGTGGAGGATGTTAAAAAGCACTGTAGCGCCTTTCGTGTATCCTACCGCTACGTCGACCTTATCCACTACGACCGTTAACGCGATTCACGCCACCGTTCCAACCCCGAAGACGACGCCCCGAACTGACTGGAACGAATATTTCAAAACTCGCCCTAACTATCCCATGGCTGACACCACATACCCACCATCCACGTACGCGTCCATCAGAGATTTTTTCGATTTGAAAAGCTTCAACAGTCTTATGTCTCACGATATAGCTAACGGTATGTGCAGGTTTTTATACTAACATTACTAACATTATTTGTTTGCTTGCTAAACTTTAGATTTTTTTTTGTATATTAAGATAAAATAAATTAAAGATCGTTTCGAAATAGATAATAGATTCATAGAAGCGACATGTAGAGGTTTCTAATGATCTTTCAACTAGTAGTGGGAACTATCGAATGAATACTATATCGAAACATTCGATAGTTGCAATTCATTCGAATAATTCGATAGCTAGTAAAAAAACCATTCGTTGAAAACTATTCGAATAAAAATTATCGAATAGATACGTCATCTGCCTTGAAATATTGTATTCTAGTAATTCGGCAGCAAAAACCATTCATTTATAAAATTCATTCATTTATGAAATTCATTTGTTCGTCAGGATCGATTATAATATAATATTAACTGGACTTTAGTTGTCGCCCGGCGACGTAGGTTTCTTTCCGAGAAACCCGACAGCGGTCGGTGGCAATGCTATGAAAGAAGCCGGCATCTTTGATTTTTTGCGGAGTCATATAAAGATAAGGACACATTATTTTTTTTATTAAGGTGCTAGTATTTACACTGAAAATACATTATGAAGGGCGCTGTTGCCATATATTGGTATTAGTTGATATTAGCAAAGAATATTATTGTTTGGCTTTAGTTAGTTAGGGATAGTATGTCTATATATTTTGCATTTTTTTTTTATTAATATTCTGTTGTTACACTGCAATAATACTTGTTATTTTGGATGTAGGAAAATTATTTTTAATGTTTTTAAGCAAATACTGGTTTAATAAAAATAATAACAGTAATAATTTGTTATACCTATTAACAACAAAATTTAAAATCATTTAATATAAACATTTATTTTACGTAGTAGCAAAATATAAACACAAATTAGATGTCAAAATTATTTATATTAGATCCTATTTAAAAATAATATAGTCTTTAAATTTTTTGGCAACGTTGGTTTATTAAATAATAATAATTACAGAACTAATTTGTTATATTAACAACAAACTTTAAAATCATGAAATATAAACATTTATTAATTTTCTAAGCGTGCAGTGTAATGGAAGGAAAATATAAATAAAAAATTAGAAATCAAAATTATTTATATTAGGTACTTTATATTACTATTTAAAAATAATATTTACTTTTACTGGCATTTACTTTAAAAAATAAATGAAATATTTCTTCGCAAAAAACTACATGTAAGAGAATTAACATAAACAAAATACAAACATCGTTAACTTTTTTTTAAATTGGCACGTGTAAAACTTTCAATTTAATTTTCACACCCCATAGTTTGAGTTCGATAACCCCGCATTTACTTAACCACATTACTTAAATATGATTATTAAGTTCAACTAATTCATATTATTAAAACATCTAAAATACAAATATGTATTTTTAAAATTAATTCTAAGTTCATCTCATCTCTCTTAAAAATTGCTACTTCTCAAAATTTCCCATTAAAAAATAGGCCATATATACAATATAAAATAAAATAATTGAAAGATCGGGCTACGGAAAATCACACAAATTTTCGGAAAAATTTTGACACCTGCACACGCACACAATCGTCAATTAAAAAAAACTACTATTTTAGTATTTTAAATATTTTAATAAACTCAAAAATAGCACAGTATTTATAAGGTGAAGTTATACAAATTTGGAAGAACTAATAATGCACTGACGTACACAAAAATCAAACGAATACTAAATTTCATTTATCAAAAGCATTCGATAGTCGTAGCTCAACGATAACCATTTAGTTGCACGGCGAGGTTGTCACATATGCTTTAGTATACAAATGAATGAATGATTTTATTCGAATAAAACCATTCGATAGTTGAAATCATTCATTCAGTAACCATTCGATAGTCTAATTTATTCGATAGTTCCCATCGCTACTTTCAACGTTACGTCATTCTATTGTAGGATTTTCTCTTTCACATCACAAAAACACAGTGAACAATCTCTTATTGCACTAGATAAAAGAGATTGTTCAAGTAATGACGTCGGCAATTCGTAAATTACTGCATATTATGTCATGTATAGTCTGTCCAACGACTCAGGGAAGATTTCGACAGAAAACATCCAAAACATTACATAAATACTATAATTTTTTGGATGTCATCAGTCAGGTATACGTCGTACAAAATAAAAACCGTTGCGGGCTATCGATTAGGCTAATAAATGTGTGCAGTGCTACCACTACACAAATATGGCCCTTATGGGACGTTTTCAATGAGTTTTAAATCTCCCACTCGATATTGTGTTGGCAACGGCGAGGAAGCGGTTGCAGCGGTGCCACGTTTATTTGACATTTGCCAGAATTTTCTGAACGTTAGTTGAGAGTTGTGTCTCGTGTGTATTGAATCTTTTAAAACCTTTGACCAGTGAAGTGAGTTTTTTTTTATTTTGAGAAACAAAACCTACTAATCTTCTATGGAAAATACTTATTAATTCTTGGAATAGTTCAAAAAGTTGCCTATATATTTTATAATCATTTACCACTCTTTATAATAGATAATATTTTGAATTGCCCGAAATCCAGACTGTTATTAATTAAACAAAATGTTTAAAACAATGTTTTTAAGACACCATTACTTGTTTTAAATATTTGTTTAAAACAGAGTATAAAAGTGTTGTAAACATATTTTCGACTTTGTATTTACAATGTTCTTTAAAACCATAAAAATTTGTTTTAAACAATAAAAAAACATGTTTTGTTTAAAAATATTTTTTTTCAGCGCTGCTTGAAACTATTTAAAACTGTTAAGAATTTGAAGTTTATTTTAGAAATTTTAATAGATCTTAGATATAGTAAATTTTTCAAAAATATTTCTCTTTCGATTACAATCTGGCAACAATGCTGTCTACAATCAACGCACGTGCTCGATGACATGCAACAGTTTTTATTTTGTACGACGTATACCTGACCTTAGATAGACTATAATTGTTATTTGTTTGAGTTTATTTTTATTGATTACTATCGATCAATGTGAAAATTAAAAATCGACTGCAAACTCAAACATAAATCGAATTATTTTTCGAATGGTATTTCATAAAAAAAATCAGTTTTTCAACTTTAGAAATCAGCTATTCTCACTTACATGAAAACTACAACGTCTCTGTTTTTTATTTTAGAAATTTTTCTAAACATAGACACGTGTAGGTACCATTTTCATTTATTCACAAAATTTTGAAAAATATAGAAAGATTTCAAAATTACACGGCAATTGGGAATTTGTTAACGACACGTTTTAGCTTATGGCTACAGTAGATTAAATTATTGTAAATCTAAATAAATTAAAATTAATTTAAAAATAAACAGAAACGATCCAGTAGTTCTCAAAATTTAATCAAAAAATAATTTTTTGGAAATTCTCAAAGTAAAATAACTTGGTTATTTGTATTTTGAAGCGTCCACATATCAGACACACTCTAAAACACAAATTTAATAAATATTGATGACGTAACGTTGAACAATTTTGGACAAGTTGTACTTTTTGTAGATCAAAATTTCAATACGCATGCGTCAAATAACAGTTTATTTGTCATATACCATATAATTATTGATTCTATGTCACACACTTATATTTAAACTGTAACTTTAATGACGCCGATTTCAAATTGTAATTATTTGATTGGTGTAATTATTGTACATAGTCTCCCAATTTGGTTGCAAAAATATTACCTCACTTATTAGTAAAGATAGAACCCTGCCGTTTTCGGGAACATTAGTTACTTTTTTGTGAAACCAAAAGTGCCTCAAACACAATTTTAGAGACTCCTGAGATTCCGTGATAACAGAGTGATTTTAAAAACGTTTCCGATACCCCTCGTATCTCAGTTGTAAAACCGGAGTCTTATAGTACCTTTACAAGTAATTAATTGGCGATAGTTAACAATTAGTAGTTACCAGCAATTTGATAGTTAAAACATTAACTAAGCCAATTAATTCCGTGTAAGGACTCATATAAGATTCAGGTTTCAAATGTGTGAAAAGTTGTCTGGAAAGTACCTCAGTTGTCAGACAACTTATTACAAATCCTATCTTTAACTTTGAATAAGGAAGGAGCATATCAAAAATCTTAGGTACACCGCGATAGGCCTCAAATATGGCCGACTTAAATTCCGGTTTATCAGTGTCGTTCTAATTTTATTTAAAAAATGTAAAACTATGATGTAGGGTAGACGTGGGGTAGACTCAATAATTTGTTGTTTTATTTTACGTTGTGAATAAATGTTGGTTGTTATTAAAATTGTTATAAAAATATATAATTCTAATAAAAATAGATAAGTTATAATAAGTATTTATTAACACAAACATCCGATACGTTACTGAATCAGGTAAGTCAAATTAACGTATCTAAATTCTTTGACATCTAATCTTTGACAAGTAATAAATAAAAGCTAAAATGCAAGAAAAATATATAATTTAGTTAATTTAAGTGAATTTCATAAATGATCGGTTTACTACACGTATGTATATTATATAGTCACTTACTAGCGAAAAGTTGTTCCATTATTTCGCTCAATTTTTGCCGAGATCTACCTAGCGTGCGGTAGATCTCACAACCAACTATTTTAGAGTCTTTTTCGATAAATCGCGATAGTGTCACTGTTAATTTAAGTTCTGCCACAATTTCCATCTAGATTTACTACCTTTATACAACTATCAGTAGTAGAATAAATAATAAATAACATAAAATAAGCTCTGTAAAGACTGACAAATCCACAAAATTTCAAATCAAATTCAAATGTGTCAAATGAATGATCCCCACCCTAGAGTGCTTTTTCCGCCCACCATGCATGAATACATGGATAGCATTATGCTCCTTCCTTAGTCTTCTTATTCAAACTATCTTTACTAATAAGTCAAATAATATTCGTTTGCGACCAAAATGAAACACTGCCTGAAAGTGTATATGTGTATCTTTTAAATTTGCAGTGGCTGCTGAATCAGAACTAGCCGATGATTTCTCAAATGCAATCACGAATAGTAATAGTTCTGAAGTTTTTGAGGACATCCTACCTCAATCGTTGATTGGCTACTTTACTAGAAACCTAACTAGTTCAAACGATAGCTGTGGCAGGATAAATATCATGGGAAACATTGTTCAGGACTCAGCTCCGTACCTGTTTCCATTCATCATTGAATATTCGTTAATCGGTGCCGCTGTCATATATGTTATGTGGAAACATATCGGAAGGAATCCCAGGTAATGCTCAGCTATAGCAATTAACAAAGGGTGGCTTGAATTCGACGCTCATCATTGGGATTTCGGAAACCGTAAGAAATACAGGATCGGTTAAATGGAGGCAAAGTTACGGTTTCCGAAATCCCAATGATGAGCGTCGAATTCGAGCCACCCTGTACACAAATTAAAATAATTTTTGATTATACAGGCTGCTTCAAAAAGTTTGACGATAAAACTTTATTTTTTTAGATGTATATATTTTATTTGTAGTTTTCATCTCTATAAAGCGCTCCTACCAAATCTCTACAACTTCCGGAAAGATTTGGTAGTAGAGGAGTACTCCAACCTCCAACTACAATCAAAAACAATAGCGCCACCGTTAATTTTATACTATACTGATACCTACTATACAGAGAAGACCAGGCTACTAGTAACATAGCAAGTTGCCGGACGAATTTACGTTTACCCGATTTGCGTTCGTACTAGAGATTCACGAAGTGAGGCAGTACAGTACGTCTGTCCGTTCTGTAGCTACGGGGTATCCATGAGAGGGGAAACGATATTCTCTCGATGTTTTTCGTTAAAAATTAGACGACGCGTCCCATCAATAAAAATTCGACAAATTTGCAAGTAGCCAATAAAATGAGTGGGCGGAGCGATTTGCGGTGACGTACTCCTCAAGTCGACGTATAAAATATATTGCTGTTTATTTAAATGTTTTTTGTCCGCATTCCTTTCATAGACACAGATCCAGCAGACGTACTGTACCTATTTTTATTTTATCGCATTTTTTCGCCTGCTTTTTATCCGGCGGACGGGTAAACGCTAATTCGTCCGGTTCTGCCTATGTTACTACTACGGTGGTCCGGTCTGTATATGATATATGATATCAAAAACTACCGGTTCTAAGTTAAAAATGATCAATGATCTAACGAGAATCTAAAAATAAAAAAATAGGGTGATAAGTATCAAAAAATATAAAATATAAGGTTATATCTGCCAGGACTGCCAGACGTTTTTGAAGCACGACCCTGTATCTTCAAAAATAATTTTCATTTTCAAGTCACAAAATAAATAATTTATAACGTATATTATTATTGTTGGCTCGCCTTTTCCAGTATCGATCTGCCGTAAATACTAACTAAATTTTTACTTCAGATACGTAACCCAAGAAGATCTGGAACACCGACTGGAAATCATGCTAAGCCGTAGAGCGGTGGCAATGGCTCAGGCTCAGCAAGGAAGAGTAGATTGTGTGGGAGCATCCAAAGGCTTATTCTTTGGATTATTGATGTTGGTTGCATCGCTCATTTGTCTGATCCTATTCTTCGTATTAATTCACCACAAAGAACTTGGTCTGCTAGCTATTTGGCTCGCGGATGTTTCGCATTGCGTTCTTATGGTAATGAGCATCATAGCAATAATAATTGGCTTCATACGGTTAGTAATATAATTTTTTTAACTATATGAAATGCTAATATTTAAGAGTACCAATTTGAGCATGAAATAAATAGACTTCTTAGGCTTAATCTACCCAAAAAAAATAGTTTAAATTTATTTTTAAATAAGCATATAAAATATTACTCAATAACATAAAACCCAATAAAATTAATGGTGGGTTCATACAGCCAAATAAAATAAAATAAAATAAGAAAGTTGGTTATATGGGATACCGTACATGCGTTCATACAGCCAAATAAAATAAAAAGTCTTTATCTTTTAACTTCTTGTTTTATTTTATGTGAAAACGGCTTTGCGCACGCTTAATTCTAACCTACAAATATTTTCAGTTTGGATTTAATTTATTTTTTAATTTCACATAAGTAAAATGTATAATATAGTAGGCAACGAATAAATAAATATACTATAAATAGTAAAATTACTATAAACAATCGTAAAAGTTAACTTTTATCCAGCCTTATCGTACTGCGCATGAGCAAATATATATTTCTTATTTTATTTTATTTGCCTGTATGAACGCACACAAATAAGAATTCCTTATTTCTTATTTTATTTTATTCTTATTTTATTTTATTTGGCTGTATGAACCCACCTAAATTATTATTATCCAACTGTAGTTGGGAGGTTGGAGCCTTTGGTGTCGGTTTTTCTTGCAAACATTAAAGGATTTGCGAACACTGAAGGACGCGACTTTTTTCTTAACTAAAAAGCAACTGAGTAGCTCATTATACAGGGTGTCCCAGAAATAAGTGCAACTATTTTAAGGGGTGGTAGATCTCGATAAAAGAAACACATTTTCTCTTTATCGATTTTCAAATAAGTCCAAAATAACGGAGTTTTTTACTTTGAGAATTTCCAAAAAAAAAATATTTTTTGCTAAAATTTTGAGAACCACTGGATCTTTTTTGGATATTCTTTATTTTTTTATAATTATTAGATTTATAAATTATTTTTTTTTAAATAAAAACTAAAAAAAATTCAAAAAATTCCGATTTTTCAATTTTTTTTTCGCAAAAAAAAAACAAATAGGCGTGTTCCTGGGGTTGAACTATACTACAGAGTTAAAATACTTGCACTTATTTCTGGGTCACCCTGTATACTCGTTATAGCAGTATTTTAACTGGTAGTAATGTTCAACCCCAGAAACACGCTTATTAGGTTTTTTTCGCGAAAAAAAAATTTGAAAATTCGAAATTTTTTGGATTTTTTTTTAGTTTTTATTTAAAACGCATAATTTCTTGATACTGTGGCAACATAGGCAGTAGATTAAAATTACTAGAAAAAAAAATTCCAGAAAAGATCCAGTGGTTCTAAAATTTTAGCAAAAAATCATTTTTTTTGGAAATTTTCTCTAGTAAAATAACTCCGTTATTTTGGACTTATTTGAAAAACGATAAAGAGAAAATATGTTTCTTTTGTCGAGATCTACCACCCCTTAAAATACTTGCACTTATTTCTGGGACACCCTGTATAGTATTCATGACATATAATAGCTGAAATACTGGGTTGTCAGTATATGAAAAAAAATATACACTTCCTCAATAAATTAACGCACCACAAAAAAATAACCAAAAGTTTAAGTTAAGTTTTTGTCAAAACCACTTATCCGATTTGGACGATTTTTTTTTTGAATGATAGGTTATTCTTTCCACAATGTTACTATACTAACTGTATTTTGATAGGAACCCTTTTTATACTAATACCGGGTGTAGCAATTATAACGTGTTTTTTTTAATAAAATTTGTGACACCCTGTAGAGTTGATCAGTTACAGTATCAAGTTAAAATTGAAATCACATTTTAGCCTTATCTTTTTTTTACATTTTATTTTTTTATTTACTCCACTATCTTCCTTATTACACGAGAAACAACATTTTATAGGATGACATGATTTAATATTGGTTTTAATTAATATTTTTCCATTTTACTCACTAAAGTAAGTAGCAGGCTATGGAAAAACACGGATTACCAGTAAATGTCAAATAGAGATGCTAGTTTCTGTGCAAACTTGTAGACCATTAGTATCTCTGAGCTGAGTTTGAAGGGTCCGAGCTGTTACGAAACGTTGTCTTAATGTTGGGAGTTTTAAAAAACGTTCCTGAATCGGATTGGTTCTTCGATTCCTGCCTTGTCCCGGCCTGCGACAATTACTCCCAGTATCTCTATATCGTGAGTTACATTAAATCGTTCACCAATTCTTCGGTAGCTCCAACCTTCCCAGACAATATTAATGCTTGAGCACATTCTTCGCCAGTAAGATTTCTTGTTTCACGTGCACGTTGCATATTTTTGATATTGTTGCGAGCCGGTGTGGACTCGACCTAACCTCACAATATGGCCCGCCCTCGGATGACCTTAACATCGCATAGACACCGCAATGATTCATTCGTTCGAGAAGAATCGAGACCCACTAGAATGGACTCGTACATACGAGAACCTTCGAAAACCTTCTCTATGCGCCTAACGATCTTTGGACTATTCTAGATTTCTTTTACCTGTCGGTATAAAAGCCGGCGGCAGTGGCCTAGAGAGGGCAGTTATAAATATACAGTTGACGCGCTAAAATTCAAAAATAAATTCTTAGTTATAAATCGTTTGTAAATAGTTCTATAAGTCTTTTATCGTTATTATTTTTGTTCATTAGTGTTAAATAAATAGTGTTTAAATAAATTGTGACTTTCTATCCACACGGAACCGACGAAAAACGTAACAATTGGTGTCAAGTGTGGCGTGTGTGATAGACTAGAAGAATAAAAAGACTGACAATGGCTCCGAAAAAATTGTTGAAAGACTTGAAAGTGTCGGAATTAAAATGCGTACTGGAAGAGAGGGAATGCGAAACAGATGGAAAGAAAAGCATTTTACAAGCCAGACTGAGAGACGTTTTGATTGAGGAAGGTGAGGATCCTGACACATTTTGCTTTGAGCTGGAAGGTGACCTTGACTCGTCATTGAAAAATTTACAAGACAATTTAAACGACAACTTGAACAATTTGAATAGTAAAATGATTAACTTGGAAGTTAATTTAGAAGAGAAAATCAGTGATAAAATTAATATTTTGGAAGATAAGATCGCAGAAAATTCTAAAGACATACAGGCCAGCTTTAATAATAAAATACTTAATTTAGAAGAAAAGATAACAGAAAATTCCAGGGAATTAGAAGAAAAGATTATAGAGAATTCTACGGAGCTACAAAGACAAAATAACACAAATTGAGGACGATGTAAATAAAAAATCGAAATTTTAAAACAAGAAATAGAAAAGGCCAATTCACCAAAATGTCAAGAAACATCGGAGGCACCGAAACTAGTCGAAAATAAGTATATCTCAAAGTCAGTTATTAAGCCTCCACAGTTTGACGGAAAAACCGCTTGGGCCAATTATTTTTGCCAGTTTGAGGCCGCTGCGAGAGCGAACGGATGGACAATCGCTGAAAAGGCTACCGCTTTGACTGTCGCACTGCGAGGAGATGCGACTGATATCCTGCAGACATTGTCACCATCGGAACAGGGAGATGATCAGCAATTGGTACGACATTTAGAGATGAGGTACGGCCAAGCTCATTTGGAACATGTCTATCATTCCCAGCTAAAAAATCGCATTCAAAAGTCAAATGAGTCTCTGCAGGAGTTTGAAGCCGACGTAGCCCGCCTCGTTCGCCTTGCGTACCCTGCTATGCCCGAAAATGTTATGGAGCGCTTAACAGTACAGGCTTTTATTGATGGTTTACGTGACAACGAGACAAGGCAAACACTTCTTTTAGCTCATCCAACGCATTTGGGAGATGCCCTAGCACGTGCCCTGGAATTTGAGGCCGCGAAAGAATGCTCTAGGTCTCTAGGATTTGTACGGGCTGTTGAGGAGAGTTCCGACGATTCCAAAGTGGAAAGGATTGTGCGGAAAGTACTGGATCAGTATATGAGCAAGAAGGGGGGACCGATTCGCTGTTGGAATTGCGGACAGATGGGAAATCGTTGCAAAGAAGAGAAAGAAGTGAAAGTCTTAAGGACGACTGTGGTTGGTGATAGTTGGCAAACCGAAGATCTTGCAAATGACCAAATCAGTGATCCAGAGTTGGGTTTGGTGATTAACTGGAAAAACGCGGACCAGAGACCAACTTGGGAGGAAGTTTCCAGATATTCGCCGAACGTGAAGTCGTACTGGTCCCAGTGGAATTCATTGGTAATAGATAACGGATTACTTCGCCGTGTGATTGTGAGACTAGAGGGACAAGAAGAGAGAAGGCAGATCGTCATTCCAAAGAAGAGGGTCCCGGAAGTCTTGGCGGAAGTTCACAATGGAACCAGCGGTGGACATCTTGGTGTTACCAAGACACTTGGCAAGCTGCGTGAACGGTTCTACTGGGTGAACTGCAAAGAAGATGTGAGGGCCTGGTGTAAGAAATGTGACATTTGCGCAGCCATTAATGGGCCACAAAAGCGTGGTAAAGCCCCTATGCGCCAGTACAATGTTGGTAGTCCCTTCGAACGAATAGCGATCGACGTGGCTGGTCCTTTCCCGGAGACGAACGATGGCAACAAATACATTGTGGTAGTAATGGATTACTTCAGCAAATGGGTCGAGGCCTACGCGTTGCCAAATCAAGAAGCGTCCACGATTGCTGATGCCCTTGTTAAAGAATGGATCTGCAGGTTTGGTGTTCCCATGGAGCTTCATTCAGATCAGGGAAGAAACTTTGAGTCCAATCTGTTCCAAGGCGTCTGTGAAGTCCTGAACATCCGCAAGACCAGGACGACTGCTCTACATCCACAATCCGATGGGATGGTTGAACGCATGAACAGAACTATCAACCGTTATCTGGCCAAAGTAGTCTCTGACCACCAAAGAGACTGGGACAAATTTCTTCACCTGTTCCTGTTGGCCTACCGTTCATCCGTCCAAGAATCTACAGGGCAAACTCCAGCCAGCATCGTTATGGGACGGGAAGTGCGCCTACCCTGTGATCTGAAATTTGGTT